CAAATTGACCTAGAGATTCAACATAATTCCAATCAAAATCCAACCAGCTTTTTGAAAAAATTGGTAACCTGTTCTATAATCTGTATGGAAAGGCAAAGTCTCTGGAATAGACACAAGCAAAAGTAAGCAAACAAAAAACTTCAATAAAAAGAACAAACCTTGCAAAGACAGAAGATTTAAACTCCCTGATTCAGGATTTACTATTAAAGCCACAATAATCATGCTGTTGTCCTGAAACTACAGAAGCAGATCAATGGAACAGAACAGAGTAACTAGAAATAGACTAGCATGTATCAATAGACTATCAACTTTCTACTCAAGGCACAAATGAAATTCAGTGGAGAAAATAACCTTGATCCCACCCTCACTGTGCTTACTAAGTTAATCTGAGATAGATCTTAAACATAAATGTAAAATGAACTATACAAAATGTTTGAAGGAAAACATTGTTAGGTGATAAACTGGATTGAATCATAATTAAAAAATTCTAATCAACAAAATACATCATTAAAGAAATTATTAGACAAGCCAAAAACTGAAAACAACTTTGCAACACATATTCAACAGAATATACCTTCTATACAGAGAAGAAGGCACATCACAGAATCTGTAGCTCCACAGTAGTGTTAGACTTAAACTTCTAAGAAATCCATGTAGAAAATCAAGCCAAGGCAAAATTGTTTTATTTTCCACAGAAAAACTTAAGAGACTGAACTGGACATTTCTGTCACGGGAATTGTACTTGACTGCCTTGGATGTGTAACACACAAAATGCAGTAAATTTACATCCAGCCTTGATAAGGTCACTTTTTCTGAAAGGTACAAATGTTGTTAGAAACTGATAGTTAAAAGTACTTTGGGACATATATCCTCACCTCACAGAAATGTTCCGTGTCTACTGGATCAGGGACTTTGTACTTCAAGCCAAATATCTAACAAGTTGGGGTTACAGCAAATATTTATTGATCCACCAAGAACAAATGGAATGAGGTCAATAGGCACTCTTGCAAAATGCATATGAAACTCATATTTTCCCCACAGGCAAAACCAATTTTGTGACCTAATCAAATGTTTGATGTTTGCAGATTGATGGCTGTCTTCAGTTGGGTACTGAGAGTGTTTTGTGTGTAGAAACTTCCAAAACACCACTTGCATGGGGGAAAAGAGAAAGAGATACAGAAGTTGATGGTTACGGTCTTTACTTCACAAATTTTTCAATCTCTGAGTTTTTGTTGCAACATCTGAAACACCCAGATTCCCAGCTTGCTTCCCTAGGGATGAACACTGTAAATGAAGTGATAAAAACACTTTTAACTATGTTGTTTCAGTTTCCAGAAGCTTTAAAATAGAGCGTATGACCAACGCATATCGAGAAGACATCCACTTCACTGCTAACTCTGGGGCTCTCATGCCATCGTCATGGACTTCCATTGTGTGAGTCCCCACCACCAAACAGCTGCCTTTAGAAACCATTCTGAGAAAACAGGTTACTTTTCATGGTGAAAAAAGTGATGAAGAGGTCATTCTAATAAAGACCCTATCATTTCTCCCCATACCCCAACCCTACCCCAAAAACCAAGCATTATCTATCCATCTGCCACTAAGGAGAATGATCACAATCAATGATCACAATCAGATCTCAACGAAAACTCTTCTCTTTCCTTACAATGATTAATTGCTATTTCTGTTGAAGTGACTGAGTACGAGACTTAATCTTAGATCCAGTTGTTTTGAGAAACACAAAAATGCTGGTTAGATATTAGCTGCATCGGGCACAGATGGAAGGTTATAGCTTCTCTTTAAAAATACGTAATATCAATTGAGTATGAAGATGAATGTGAAACAAAATAAATTATCTGACTGGTTAACTCCAAGTTAACTCAATAGGAAAAGACAAGTAACTTAGTCATCTGACTCCATGAATTAGTGCTCAAACAATCTAGAAGATCTCTTTGTCCTGGGTCTGCCTAGTATGATCAAAGGTTTGTTAGGAGCAAATATTCATATTACTTGGAATATGAACATAATTTATTAATTTTCAAAACAAATATAGATTCATCATCTGATTTCTTATGATTTAAAAGTATTACAGCCAAGTTATGGAAACACTCTAAATGCCCAATGGCAGAGGAGTGGATTAAGAAGATGTGGTGTCTATGTGTGTGTTTGTGTGTGTGTGTGCGTGTGTGTGTGTATAAAAAAAAAAAAGATGAACTCTTGCCACTTGTGATAACATGGATGGAACTAGAGGAGATTATACTGAGTGAAGTAAGTCAGGAGGAGAAAGACACGTATTAGATGATTCACTCATAAAGACCAAAAAAAAGAGGAACTGACAAAACCAAACCAAAACAAACCCTAGAAACATGAATGCAGAATTGACACCACTAGAGAGGGAGAGGGGTGAGTGGGAAAAAGGCCTGTGGGAGCTTTGCTGGTGGGTGTGCTGTGGTGACAGCATCTGAAGAAGTGTGGACCTATTCCCCTAAATCATTTACAGTTTTGTAAACCAGTGGTACCTCCATAAGAAATAATAATATAAATACATTTTATGAATTGTGATGTAATTATGAGTTGTACACTCATAATTATAAACTATACTTTAAAACCACTTGTCACCTCTTCCTTTCCTGTGTCCCACACCCCAAAGAAAACTTAAGAAAGGAGAGAAAAGGGGTGAAGGATAAAGACTCCAAGTCCATGGGGGAAATTAGCATATTAATGACTGGGGTTTCTATTTACACTTCCATCACCAGAGCTAATTGTTAGTTATTTTAAGGAAGAGGTTATGCTTTAATTAACAGCACTTGGTAAATGAAAGTTGGTTGCATTTCTTAAGTATGTTCAAATTTCACAAGTCTAAGTTCACAGCAGGATTCCAGTTCATCTAATACTTTCATGTGCTAACACCTCTGTTCAAGGAAGAAAGTCTTTAAAAGACCCCCCTCAAAAAAAAGACCCTAAATAATTAGTTTCCAGAATTAAAAAACCAACAAAAAACACATAATTAATGAGTAAGCTAATTATTTATCCCCAGAGCATTAACAGACATGCACATTTTAAGAGAGGATGAAGGGGTAGAAACACCTCTTGGCATTTAATATTTTCAACTTTGCTATTTCTGAAACTTAACAAAACCAAGAGTTCAGGGTGCATATTTTCATTTCTGTAGTGTTCCTTGAATTCTGGCCTTCACCTATTCTCTGTACTGTCCATGCCTTGGGGCTACTGGGAGGCTTTGAAGAGCATGGATCCCATGTTCCCTCTCTGCTCTCCCTGGCCCCCTGGTGACATCTCCCTTGCCTATGTGTCACTTGCCTGTGTGGTTGTTCTCACACTTCCATCGTTCCCAACTTAGTGATCTCCCCACTTTCCCCATTTCTTTCTCTGATAGAAGAAACCAAAACCCACAAGAGGAGGCTTTGAATACAGTCCATCAAATTTGCTCCAGATCTCATGATCAGACGGTTTTTAGATGCCAGTTTTAACCCCAACTTTTTGTCTCTTAAATATTTTTATCTTCCCCTCTTCCCCAAAAAAGTCAAAAATAACAAAGATAGGACCTTTTTTGAGAAAAAAAGCAAAGTTGGTAAATATGGAAAAAGATCTTCATTCGCATTCTCTTATTCGGTATTGACTATTAATGAGGGATCATGAGGTAGCAACCAGAACAATCTTTACAACAACAGCAGCAGCAACTTACCCTTATCATCCTGCAATAGTTATTCTTCAAAATAGTTTACATGTATTAACTGACATAATTCTTAAGATCCCAGTGAGGTATACAGTATAAATAAGGAAACAGAGGTACTAAAAACTACCTCTTCTAGAGTCATAAGTCTAGTCAGTGGAACCAGACATTTCTCAGTGGTTGCCCCAGGCCGCCATACTGTTGCCATGCTACACATATCCTGTGTGTTCAACGGGGCACATCTTCTGCAATTTTCAAGCAAAAGACTCCTAGGGCTGAGTAGAAACCCCCTTGTCTCCGTTTAACATCATCAGTCTGAGTCACGTAAAGGATGAAAAGGAGAGAGAGTGAACTCCATGAGCAATGCCTAGATGTGCAGAGCTGAAAGTTACATTTCCCAGGTGCTTCTGCAGGTCCAGCAGCTCCCCTTAGTTTCAACTGTACTCTCTCAAAACCACTGGCTCACCAGGTTTCCAGGTGTATTCTGTGTGTCCCTCACTGTGGAACACCAAGACTATCGTAACTCTCCTGCCTTGAACAAGACAACAATTCATGGTATCAGGAGAGATTTCCAGGTGAGAATTCACTTTAAATGCTACCCTTCCCAATGTCTACCCAATAGCATTCTCTCCTGTCTAGGAATTTTATGAGTGGCCTCTAGAGATAGTGTCTGGTACTTAACTGTCTAACTAGGAGGTGTGATTTAAGGTGGAGGAAAATTTAGACAAGGTAAGAAGACTGAAGAATCTAAGACAAAAAAACGACCGCGGGGACTTTACATGCCCTTAAGGAGACCAATTAACCCTCCTCCCAGCGCTTCTAGTTTCCTCCTCTGCTTTGGTGCCAGGAAAAACTTGAGGAAGAATAGAGAGTTTCTATTTTCACAAAATGTAAAAGCATAAAGTATGGAAGTAACTCACCATATCATTGCCCCCCCCCCTTAAGAGTAATTACAATATCTCAAAAGTTTTGAAACACTATCTAATCTTTCCACATGCTTTCTGCCCACAATGTTACTCCTTCAGCAACTCTTTAACACAACCACAGCAAAAATAGAACCCAAAAGATCAAGCCAGCCTTCCTGCAAAGAGAAAAATCTGTCTGCGAGCTTTTGTTCCTAACCAAGTTGTCAATTGGGCACTTAGCTGAATGCATTTGAAAAAAATAAACCCAGCAAACCCTAAACATCAGACAAACATAAACAGAGTTCAAATACCCTCTTTGAAAAATGCAAGTCACCTCAAGAACCCAAGAGTTTGGAAAAACAGACCCACTTTTCCCAAGGAAAGAAATAAGCACCAGTACTTACAGTGTCGTGGGACTTATCCTTGACATCATAGACTGTTAGCTTTATTTTGGTCTCCTCATAGATGGGATATTCAGATGGGAATGTGACGCCAGTCAGGAACAGCGGGTCTCTTGTTCCCTGTGAGACACAAGCAGACAACCCTGATTCAATAAGACAGCAACTGCAGTGGGCAGCGCGCGTTGACACCGGAGAAGGCACCAAGTGACTGGGTCTGTTTGCTTTTCTAGGAAATAGTTCTCTCAGAAGAGAGATCTGAATCGCCAAGGCTGTGCTTGCGGGCAAAGACAGGGCCGAGGCCCAAAGGACAGTGAAGGGCATTGCCAGAGGTGTTAACAGTCTTGCAACACAACTCTTTTTTATTGTAAGCAGAAGCCGTTTTTTAGGGTCGGTTGTCAGGCCATTTAGAATACAAGCAATGGACAGAATCTGCAATCCATGCAAATAATCTCAGATGCTGGCTGATCAAATTAAAATGAAGCTATTTCCTCCGAGAACTATTTGGTACTATTTTGTATCCACTGCTTTTATTTATTCATCCATGCTGTCTTCCTTTTATTCAACAAATATTACATTTTTGCCCGCCACTTCCTTAGACACTTTAGAATAGACAGTGAAGAAAAGAACCAAAAAAAACTTCCTAAGTTCAAATATAAAATTTTGAAATGTGTCAAAATAAATTACTACATTTAAGTTTTGACAGTATTTTAAAAATAACTAAGCTGGGGACTTCCTGGTGGCGCAAGGGGTTAAGCACCGCAATGTGAAGCAGTCGGCAGCCTCTGCAGCACGAGTTCGATGCCCAGCCGGCCAGGGAGCTACCCACATGGCGCAGCAGACCTCTCCTGATGCCCGCTGCTCCCCTCAGCAGTGTATTTCGTCATTCTGCCTATTCTGCTCCCCACTGTATCTCTGGTGAATCCTCTCAACCCCCCCCCCCAATCTCTGGCCTGTGCCCCAGCTACTGTATGCATAAATAAATAAATCTTTTTATTTATTTATTTATTTATTTATTTACTTACTTATTTATTTATTTATTTATTTATTTATTTATTTATTTATACAAGCACTGGGTACAGTCAGAAGGGCGGGAAGGTGGGAGAATTCACCAAAGCCAGAGCGGGGAACAGAGCAGACAGACTGACGAAATACACTGCTGAGGGAAGCAGTGGGCACGGCAGGAGAGGTCTGCTGCACCATGTGGGACCCTTGCTGGGGATCGAACCGGTGCTGCAGAGGCTGCAGGCAGAGGCTGCGGGCAGCTTTGCAGCCCAGTGCTCAACCGCTGCGCCACCAGGGGAGGCCCAATAAATAATTTTTTTAAAAAAAATAAATAAAAATAACTAAGTTGGAATTATACTTGAACTATTTTTTCCTATTTAGTCAGGTTTTTCAAATATGAGTAAGATCAGTTGTGTAAATTCAGCGAGGGCATTAATTCCTAACTGTGCACACGTCAGAACCTCAAGTTTCAAAAGGACAGATTCAGAGCAACAGGCAAGATCTGCCTCTTCCCCTCATAGACACGGGGAGCTCAGTGTGAATCATTTATTCTGCCAACTGCTTCCAGAGGCCACTGGCACCTAGGGCAGCCGGCTTGGGGGCAGGCTACCTTGGTTTTATAGAGAAACTCCTCACTCCGAACAGACAAAGCACAAAGTCTAAAAAAAAAAGCAAGCAAAGCCCAAGGAGCTCAAAGCTTACTTTCTTTAGTCCAGAGAGTCAAATAAATATCACTCATACACAAAGGTTGTGAAATATATATGATCAGAACAAAATAATCAAAAGGGAAACACTTCCTCTTTTGAATCTGATCCAAGACAATAACCAGTTTCCTCCAGACACATTTTACATGTTATATTAGTAACAATAAATGTAAATAGGAAATCGCTCATCTGATGAGTAATATTTACACCTTTTGCCTGGAAACATTACAATTTGCGAAATCACCTACCTTTCTTTGAAAAACATATACTTTAAAGAGACACACACAGAGAGAATATGAAGTTTTTCGCAAATGAATTAAGAAATATAGGAAAATATGAAAAGGGCAAAACCCTTGACAGGTCAAAAACTTCTCTGGGTACTGACAATTTTCTCTTTTTCCCTCCCAAATAAATATTCATTCCATTTTATTTAAAATTTATACTCTCATTTTCCCTCTGTTTGGTTCACGATTCAGAGATTTAAACTGGGAATTTTTCTTACTATCAACTCAAGAAAAAAAGATCCTTCATGGCAAGGTAAGTTCTTCTCCCATTTGTTTATACTGATAAATTACCAGTGCAGGCTTAATAACCTCGGAATGCTTCCCCTTAATACAGAAAGCAGTCACTTAGCAGAGTGACAGGTCATGAACTACTTATGTCAGCTGTCTGAAGAGAGCAAGAGAGGGGAGGGGGAAGATAGGAGTAGAGAGGAAGGACGGACAGACAGACAGACAGACAGAGAGAAAAATGCAGGCTCACCTCTACAATCTCCGTGCTGGAGTATCTTGTCAGACTCTGCTCTGAGGGGTGGATTACTGAGATCTGCACCAGTGTGTTCAGCTTCCGATCACGGACAGGAGCCACTAGATCCCTGCATGCTGGCAGTGGCAGAGGAAAGAGAAAGAAGAAAATAAACTAACACCGTATCCCAGAGAAAACTTCTGTCCCGGCTTGGAAGTAAACTTCACCAGGGCACTGAGTGAAGTCTCCTGGGACTCTGCCTGATTGTACAGAGGAAGTCCCTTGGAAGTACCTTACAGAAATAGGAAGTCACGTGCTGCGGCGCTGAATCGAGAGTTTATTTCCACTGACCACATTTGCAGTTCATGCAAATCTGGCGTGCCCTGGGATCTCAGCACCACTCAGAAACTTGAAAGGCTCTCATTAGTCATTAAACCCAGGGCTTGAAGTCACACTCCTAGACTAAGGAAGTTGATCTGGGCCATATCCGTGAAACCTGAAGCTGCTAGTCACTATCCTTGAAACCTGAAGCTGCGAGTCACTGGCCCTGGCTGGTCTTCATCTGCTGGAAGGCATCCCAGTGCTCGCCTGTCATTCCCAAAGGCTGCCCTCCTGCCCTTACACACAGGACTGACTCAGAAGAGGGCTGCCCTACACCAGCAAAGGCAAGAAAAGGCAGAAGAAGGGTTAAATCCGTCCTGCCTGGGATTCCAGCCAAGTCTGGGAGAGAGACATGTGGAATAAGGATGGGTTAATTCTTGCCCTGGGGCCACAAAAGTTAAGAACTCTCCCTGGAGACAGAAAGCTCATATTACAGACTCCCATTGCCATACCATATTTCCTTGAATATTTTCTCCTCTCACATATCATTGCCCCAATTTGGGCAAGGAAAACTACACGCACACACACACACACACACATACACACACACCCCTCTCAAATAATCCTTTTCACCAAGTCCAATATTTCTTCTCACTCCACTTTCCCCATGGCTTCGCAATAGCCATTTTACTGCCTGCCCTGGGGGATACAAAGTCCCCCCCAGAGTTCAAGGTAGGCTGAGGGCAGGCTGGAGTTGTGATCCGGAGGGCAAATAGCCCTGGGCCCTGGATTTCATGGGAGACCACTCCCCTGACCAGCCAGAGGGTTGCAGAGATGCAGATTTACGTTAGTCTGCAGTAGACAGCGGTTTACTGGACCTCGTCCATCGACTGGGACCTCTGTCCACTGGGACAGAGATACTGTGGCTCAAGTCTGCAACTTGAAAGCAAAGGAAATTATAAATGTAATTATCACCTTCCAGTGGCTTACAGATCATCTCACTTAGTGAAGCAGAAGGGGAGAGACGGAAAAGCAGTTTTGGAATTGAAACAGGTCTGGGTTTTGTCCACTTTTGCTTGCTAAGCAATGCGGGGCAAGTTCTTTAACTTCCTAACTTCTTGCCAGTCTTGGGGATCCTTTTACTCCTGTAAGGTATGTTGTCATGATGTATTTTTATTTAAACCACATGCCTCCTGCCACACAGGAGAGCTCAGGGAAGCACTGCTACACTGCATTCGCCCTCACCACTTTTGAGGTGTTTTGCCGGTTACCTTTCATTTCTCAAAACGGTGCTATGAATTATTATTTCAGTTTGACATATTAAGAAAGACAAACTTTGGCATATCAGATACTCAGCATGGCATGATGGGAAATTTCTAGCCATCTGCTCACCTCATACCCCATTCGCTCCTTTCCTGGCTTTGCTCTCCTGCAGGAGGGCTCCTCTCTGGAAGACCTACTGTCACCATTGTTTACTGTCCACCCCGAGAGACTGACAGCTTTAGAAAATACTGATGTGAGGTCTCATTCATGTCAACATCTCACCGGAAAGGAAAAAAAGTCAGATTTAGACTTCCCTGCTCTTTGGTGGTTGTTTTGATGATCACTTCCTCTGCTTGCCTAGGAATGTGTTCAGTATCATCGTCCTTTCTCTTGTCTTTCTGCACAGGGAACAGCTCCCTCTCCACTTACTGATACTGGCTTACATCTGTCCTTGGGCTCTAGCTGAAATCGCTTTGTTTCAAACACACGTGTCTTGTCCTCTTTCTGTTGGTAGATTCATCTCGCCCTTATAAGCTTATAACACCTTTGTTCAAAATAAGTCCCACCTGTGCTGATCTCTTATCAGTCTTGTCTGTGGGCTGTGGTTAGCTCCCCAAAGTGAGCAGCTGTTCTCCATTTCACACAGACACTCTCAACCTCCTTTAAGCTGAAATATTGTGTCCAGCCCAATTTGCAGAGCCCTCAATACCAGTGATGTAAACACAATACTAGCGGCACTTTGCATTGTTTCATGGTCTAGGTCTAGAAACTGGCATGGAGAATGACCACAAGCCTGAGCGTGGCCTCCCACAGCCCAGATCATTTTCTGCTCCCTCAGCTTAGGCAGCAAGATGCCCTGGAAAAGCCTGAAATCAGCTGGATTCCCTGAGCTATAGCCCCAGATTCCCTGATTCCTAGTTATGTGACATTAAGTCACAAAGTCTTATATATCTGTTTTCCATCTGTCTACCCCTTTCCTGGGGTGGATGAAAAAGAAGGCCCTTTCTATGAGTGAACTTTTCTATGCAAAAATTGAGTGTTCTGATATTATATGAACATGTGCCAGTATTAATAACAATATTTATCAATATTCAGTGTGTTATTAGTCTATAAGTAGGTTTTTATTGACTCAGTCATATTCAGACAACTCCTTAAAAGCTGTCACCAGTCCGTGTCTTTGTAAATACCAAACCAGAATGTGAGTCACTGCACATCATAAAGTGAAACCAGTACAGGCAACGTGGACCTGCACGTACTGAAACCACCCACTGGAGTCGATACACAGCGAGCTGTCTGGGTGGCTCGTGGACTTTGTACCCCTGTGATTACGCAAAAGCCCGGCCTGCAGAGAAATTTCTCAGACGTCAATAAATAAGCCTGAAACATCTGTTTCCAGATATTTAAAGAAAAAAAATGTTTTATCTACCTACAAGCTACCCACCACTGCCCAGCACCCAAACAGCACTCTGCCTGGAGTGGCGGGCATCGGCCACCTTCCTCAAGAAGCAGAGGCTGCAGTGATTTGGGGGTTGCTGCTCTTTTGTGTGTCATTTAAGAATTGAATGGATAGAAACAAAAAGAAGCTTCTCTGCTTCATTCATCAAGATTTTCACTTCTATTTCTGCCTTTTTACTGACTCTCTTTTGGACCAACCAAGCTACGTAAAAGTGTCCCCTCCCCCTCTGGGTGCTTCATTTCCAGAGTCAGCTTTCAAGGGTTAGTTTTCAAGCTTGTCTGACTCTGTGAAATACATACCCATGACATTTGGGTACCTACTAGTTTTTATATAGATACATAAAACTTAAAATTCCTTACTGGATTATTTGTGAATTCTAGAAATCATAGGTATCTTTAATATATAATCTTCTTTTGGGGGGACAAAGGGGTGAGGGTGGGACCAATGGATTATGGTGGAGGGTTGGGGTTTGGGTGGTGGCATGACAACATGCATTTGTAAAGGTGGAACCTACACCCCTAGACATATACAATGTTGTAAACCAATGTTATACTTTGGTAAACATAATTAAACATAAAAATAATTAATTCACATTTGTTAATTTCACCTCTGACTGGGTATTTTCAAATAAGAAGCCAAAAATAGCTTTTATTTTCTATCTGCCTACAGAAGCACCTGTGTGAATGGTCCACTCACCCTCTAAGCAGGGGTCAGGTGTGGAGGTTAGTCTAGCCCCTGAAACTCAAGAGGGTGATATGCACATGAGGTGCTGTCTTAACATGGGAGACGGCCCAAGGGGCCATGGAAAGCCTCTCTCTTCTGTTCTGCGTCCTTCTTTCATTAGGAAGGAAGACCGCAAAGGCTAATAAAGCAGCTTTTTTCTGGCAATTTAAAAATAAATGTTACAGCTAGACCCCAATATAACCTTTTGGAAGCCTAACTCAAAAAAAGTGCATTTCTTGTATCCTCTACAGCCTCTTTCTGGGGAAAAGGAAGAGAGAATTCCATGCCCACTAAGAGCAAAAACAGCCAGGGTACAGGGACAGGGGCTCTTGACTAGAAAGGTGGCTTTAGGGAAATGAGCCACTTCCCCAAAGCTGTGGGTGAGAATTGTCATCTAGAATTCAGTGTTTTAATTTTACTTTTCAAAGTCTTAATGTTTGGTCAGGTTTCTCAAAAATGTCACATATAAATCCTTGCTCCTTGTACACCAGAAAATTAGATGTCACCAATCAACTGATACGCCAATTTGGGTTACATCTTCAGTTCCATAAATTACTGGGGCTCCATTATATGGTGTCACAGTTACCATTCTATACCAGCAATTACATCCAGATTAAATCAATGTACATTCTACATTAAAAGATATATGGAACACTTACAAAGTCTAATAGGCCCTTTCTCTAATTACTTTGCCAGTATAATATGCTTTCCTAGTTTTAGTTTCTTCTGCCTTTCTCTTTATTCTACTTTTTTTCTCAGGAATTTTAGGACAATTTTCTGAAGCCAGGGATGTCAGTCTCTGCAGTTCAGATGCCCGGTGTGAATTCCAAAGGCAAAATTGCCTCCTAACCGGCCCCATATCCCAGGAAGTTCTATTGCACAAAATGGCGGTGTTCACAGTGTCCCTGTTTGTACTAACTGCCACACAATGAGAGTTCCCAGATAGTTGGGAAGACTCTATTCACTTCTCAATATTTTCTTAAGTTTACTTCTTAGAAAAATGTGACTATCACCCTGAGCTAATTAATGGCCATTAATATTTGTCCTTCCATGTCCATCCTGGTCTCTGTGGAATCTCTGTAGTGTCTATAACTAATTGAGTTTAGCATCACATCATACCCTGCCTGTTTGTGGTATCTGATTCTCAAATGATAAAGCACATATTCTGTAATTTTTTCTCATTCTGTAGTATTCCTCTGTGTTCTCTGGTACCTCAAATTTCCTCTCTAACATATGTTCCTCTCATCATTCTCATAGATGAGGTCACAGGAATCATCGCTTGTATATTTATAAGATCTGGGACTGCTGGGGTCAAGACTACATCTCTCTTAACACACCGCTGCCTCTTCCTTCAATTAAATAACCATCTTTTAA